TTTCCTGGCTATATCCAGCCCTCTAAACGGGACCTTATCAAGAGTGCAGTCATCTGACGCTTTGGTAGACTTTTTGTAGGGGCCGGAATAACCGGTATTGCAGAAAGCCTCCGAGACAGACCTCCGAGACGCACCTTTTCCGCTAGGGAAAAGGTGCGTGCACTGGGGAATTGATTAAAAAAACAAACAAAAAAACTGGCGCATTTTGTCTTGTGCATATCCTTACTTATTCGGCCATTTCACGTCATTTTTAAAGCGTGGAGCTATGTATGTATATATATATATATATATATATATATATATATATATATATATATATATATATATATATATATATATATATATATATATATATATATATATATATATATATTCTTTACGATAATCGCGACCCAGGACATCTATTGCCGCATTCGAAGAATCGTTCCCACCTTTATCTGAGCCAGCAACCAAAGGCAAGCCGTTGTAAGAAGCACGTCATCGTTTAATTTTCATTGATTACGAGTATTTACTCTCGCACTCGACACAGTTGGGAGAGGAAAGCCGTAGTAAGTCTTGCCCCCTCCCACCGCCCCCTCCTCTGAGCACAATCATATACAATAAGAGCAGCCACAGTGGCTATTTGGTGTTGCATTTTAGAGGGCCACAAACACTTCGCTCTGTGTTTATGGTGGGTCCAGTCCGTCCCTGTACGGTTAAAAAGAAATAACTTTATTGGGTTGAAAAAGAAGGTGGTTCACGAGCAGATGGGTGGCGCCCCATGTCCAAGGCTCCACTGGCTCGCGCCGCCAGCCGGATGTGGTCCAGGAGTGCTAGTTGCACCTCCGGGTCCGAGCTAGCGAGGAGTGCCTCCCACTGCTCTAAAGTGTTTTCTATTCTCTACATACACTGTAAGCGATTGAGTTCGTTTGGCCGTTTAACACAGCTCCACAAGATAAAAGCGCGTTTACCCAAGGACCATATACGAATTACGAAACTTCCCATAGGACATGCATCAAAATATGTGTATCGCATTGGCCGATATCGCACGGGTCTGCTGTTTTTTTTTTTTTCACACCCGCGCCCTCAACCTCAGAAAGGTATGCAACACTTTGGCCACGGCCACTCTATACGAATGATGACGAGTGGACGAAGCTAGGTCATAAGGTCCACAATGCCTACGTTGAAGACACCGACTAGTATAAAGGACGGAGAAAATTGACGCACTGGTTGTTGTGCTGTCATATACTTGATTGGCATAAAGTCGTTCTTTTTTTTGTTTTTTACGTAAATGTTTTCTTTTTTCGTTGTGCAGGTGTTTAGGTTCGGCCTGACGGACGCGGACAACAAGGATAGGTCCTAAGCAGTTGAGTTTTGTATCACTGATAGATGACGCTATATAAACTGCAGCACCCCCCCCCCCCCCCCCCCCCGCTATATCGGTCACGGGTACGTCCCGGTTTAGTAACACACTTTCACAATTGATACAATTGAAGACCCCTGCCATTCCCAGCCACCCATTGTGATGGAGAACCCTGCACATGCCCACGGTTCGTGTGCGTTTACTATGACATTTCCTTCGTGCACGCATACGATTTGTAGCCCCAGCGGGCCTTCTCATGTCTAAGCCCCGCAAGATGGCACTGGCTTTCGTACGCTTACCTATAAGCACTTGAAACACTTGCGAAATCATGGTTGAGACTGAAATACCTCGATGTCCCTGCTGCTTCACTGCACCGAAATAAAAGTTAGTTATTTAATTTATTTATGTATATAATTTATTCATCCGACCGTAGCTGATAAACTGCCGAAACTGTTGGGAAATAAATATATTTATCTTTGTTAACAACGCTCCCGTTGTGCCACATTCTATATATATATATATATATATATATATATATATATATATATATATATATATATATATATATATATATATCGTTATTAAAAGGTCGCAGGTTCGGTTCCTGCCCTCGGTACTTCACATAGCACAGCACTTCAGTACTTGTTTTGCACCCAGCAGGCGCCAAAATGCGACACCCCGAAGGCTGGTAATCAAATTCACGGCTTCTTTCTCCGCACCATGACACAAACCGTTTTAGCACTTTCACGAACAGTGTGACGGCCACTCTATTATATTAACTTTTCGTGCAATCATAATAAAATTTCCTATAAAATGTTTCATGCCACTGAATTATTGCATTAAGATCAAACAGAGACAATGTTGCCGTTTTCACAGTCAAGAAAGATTACCCAGTAGTATTTGCCAGCACCAGCCACAACATAGCCAGTATTGGCCTACATTTAGCCAGCGCAGGGTGACATTTAGCCAGCGCAGGGTTTGAATCACACTTGTCTAAAGCGGTCAACCGCTTGGTTGTGGACTCTGGCGCCGTCCGCAGCTGTTACCTCGTGTTGGCTACAATCTTCCTTTCGTGCTTGAATATATAGCGTGACGACCCAGCATGCGGTGCGGCTGTGTGTGCTATCATTACGGCGTGAGAATGTGCATATATATGCAACAAAAATATAATAATGAAATGACACTGGTGCACAAGCGGCCAACCGGCTGCTGCAAGTATATACAATTGGTGCACTTGAGGAGAGGCCTGAGCGATGCCCAAAAGAACGTACTGATGGACTAGTTGCTACTATAGCGACTCATTTTGAAAGGTCAGCGCAACAACGCGAGGAAATGGGCAGAGAGGCAAAGATTATTTTCAAAATTGTAAAGCTATCTTCTCTGCTATGCAGTATAAACAACTAATGGCGGCTAGTGACTGCAAGCAGCCTGTTCAAGCGCAGATTGCTTACGCTATGACGTGGAAAGCTTAGAGTCGGCTCTGTTGATATAAAGACACATATTAGATCAGCCGCAGCACGGTCAACTACGACCGCGTCTCGGCTTGAAGCGTGACGGGTACCACCATTTTTTGGGGGTAAATATGCAGTCCAGAGAAACGCACTTAGAAATTACGAAGACAATATTGTTTACGAGAGAATATTGAAATATTATTGAAATAATTTAATAAATAAGTTACTCGTAACAATACATTTCAGTGTATTGCAACGAAACCACACGGACGGTGAAATAAGCAGACTGGACCTGCAGCGTTTACAAACGAGCAGCGCAGAGGTCCAGCGCGATGATGGGACAGTTGCGTGACATCGAACAATGTGGGGCACGCTCGTTTCGCAGAGAAAGTGCGGAAAGCAAACGAAAAAGGTCAAGTACCCGCCGAACGCTTTATCGGCCGGGCGCGCCGCTCCTATGCAGCGCGACCGACGTCAGTTAAGCTTCGTCGAGGGGGCTCGCTCGGTTCAAGACGGCCGGCTCGGCCGGCTACCGCGATTGCCCTGCGAGAACCTGCTATCTTGCTCACGTGGCAGTGACCACGAGGACGAAAAGTTAGCCCGGAACAAGGTTAACTCTGTCGCATCCAAGCATTCGAAGTAGATTAATTAGAGTTTCAGTGCCGGGCCCTAAAGTAACTGCGCACGTAAGCCCTTGCGCCCCTTTGTATTCCCCCCGGGTGCACCTGAGATTGCAAAGGAACGCAAGAGCGTGCGTACGCACGCTTCTGTAGTTGACTGCTATATTAAACCATTGAGTCGTATCACTGCGATTGACAGAGGTATACTGTGTACCACCTTCTACGAACCGATATAGTACGCATCGGCTCTTGCTCAACCGCATCGCCAACCAGGGCACGGTGGTAGCCTTAGCGTGGTTCAAGCCCACCATTGTAACCTGACTGTCATCTACATTCCGAGCCATAGCTTGTTGTTTACACTATAGTGGCTCGATTTAGGTCTCATATTTAAACGTAGGATTTCACATGTAAAGATGGAACGTGTGGTCTGTAATATAAGAAAGAGACCAGCATTGTGACCTCCTTCGTGACTTTTCATAATTGCAATGCAGAGAAATGTTAGCTGCCAAAGCTTGCAAATACGTGAATACAGTGTTTCGTAAGCTTTCCATAGAGAAGCTGTTCATCGGTGCTTTTTATTAGTTTCCAAACACGACAGATGTGCACAGTTATTGTGAGAGACCCGCGGGAACCCCGACACACAAAAACATGCTATAGGTTCTCGTTGTCTAGGACACACGAGCTCATTATAGTACTAGTACTGTTCAGTAAGTGCGAGTCCTCGTAACTGAAAATCCGACCAAATGCATAAAACCGAGTTCTCCACTAAATTTATAAAGCAGCACAGCTTGAGAGGATTGCTTCGCGATAAGTCCCAGGATATCGACCGTTGGAAATTAAGTACACTCTAACAACTTACTGAGTTCGCATAATTTATCCTGTCAAAAGCATTTTCATCAATGTGGTTTCATTTCTACAGTGCCCCGCCGCGGCGGTCTAGTGGCTAAGGTACTCGGCTGCTGACCCGCAAGTCGCGGGTTCAAATCCCGGCTGCGGCGGCTGCATTTCCGATGGAGGCGGAAATGTTGTAGGCCCGTGTGCTCAGATTTGGGTGCACGTTAAAGAACCCCAGGTGGTCGAAATTTCCGGAGCCCTCCACTACGGCGTCTCTCATAATCAAATGGTGGTTTTGGGACGTTAAACCCCACAAATCAATCAATCAATCAATCATTTCTACAGAGCAGCGATACATTGCGAGCAATGTCAGCCGAACCTACACTCAGGTTTGCCGGAATCCAAAATGTTGCTTATCTACAAGCAGTTTAGTTTGCTCACGCGTTGATATTTTTTCTTTATTTGCAGACCGAAGCATTGCGTATAGGATTGCTAAGCATCCGCATACAGCCACACTGGTCGACACGTCGAAACCGTCTCATGGTCAACAAACACGTTACGTTGTTTTTGTTTTTGTTTTTGGGCTGAAATGTGTTGTCGTGCTAGTACGTTATGATAGAGTAAGTAAGCGATACTCCACAAGGACGAAGCCCGTGTTTGCTTTCCTTCTACGTCCTCGAAAAATTGTGCTCACTGACTTTATCATGTACATTAGGTTCACCACGAAATAAAAGAAGAAAAAAGAAGACGCACCTGAGAGACAGGACGCTGAGACTGGTAGCCGGCGTCGGGAAGACGTTCCTGGTGATCTTGTCCAACCTGGTGAACGATATCTCCAGGTCCCGAATTTCGAGGCCGGCGAAGGCGCCTTCGTCGACGTGCTCGAGGCTTCCGCCTTGCACCATGACGTGCGTCAGGCTCTTGGGCATGAGCGAGAAGCTCTTGTGAAGCCTGGGGAAGTCCGATGAGAACACGAACAGCCGCTGCAGGTTCTTCAGGCGTCCCAGGGCGCTCCAGTGCAGGTGCTCGAGTCCCTTGGCGCGCCTTATCTCGATCATGGTCAGGTTGTCGTCGAAGCCGTCGAACAGGTTGCTACTGTTGCAGACGTTGGTGAAGTCGGCCATGTACGTGTACAGCTCGGTGACGCGAACGCCGCTGAACACGTCCGAGGGCACGTCCTTGAGGTTGTACTTGGACAGCTCGAACTCGAAGACGAACGCGCCGCGGAGCGTCGTGAGCGCGTTCTTGAGCGCCCGCCGGTCCACGTCCTTGCACTCGACGCGCACGTAGTTCTGGAAGCTGAAGCAGCTGCACGGCCGCAGGGCGTCCTTCTTCGGACACGAGGAGGCGACCGGCCCGAGCGCCAGCTGGAGGATTACGAGCAGGGGCAGCCGCAGCGTGGCCAGGGTAGCAACAGTTGCACGGCTCGGTCTTCGGGAGTGGGAAGCCATGAGAGACGTGGAACGGCGCGTCGGCGTGAGTCGTTGCAACGTAGATGGCCAGATTCGGACCGGCGCGCCGTGTCCGAGAAGTATTTGCCGTCCTTCGATCCAGGCCTCGCCCTGGCTACCACAAGCCTCGCTACCCGGGGCCAACGTTTCTGCTGCCGCCTGCGGTTGCTGTCACAGCCGGAACCGAAAAGAAGCGCCAACGAGGTTTGAGGAGAGGAGCGCTGCGGCGACTGATAGTGACTCCGCAGCCTCACCTGCTCGTTCGCTGGACGTCACCTTCTTTCTCTCCTTTCTAGTTTTTTTTTCATTACCTTTTTTTTTTTTGCTGAACTCTTCCGACATTTTTTTCTCTTCTCTAACCGTTACGACGAACGTGTCGCCCTCGATGTCCAGGCGGGGAATTAACATCGCGCATCGCTTTGATAAGAGACAACCGAATTTCAGAGATACGACACCAGGTAGCGGAAGATTGCGTTCGCGCCCGCGGGGAGTCTATATGCTCCCTGGAGTGCAGCGCGCGACAAGAAGCCCGATAAGGCAAGGCCGGGCACGTTCGTTTCTCCCTTTTGTTACTTGTCGTTATAGAGTATACCGACCCGTCTCGCAGCGTAGCACGCTCCCGAAGAACAAGAAAAAGAAGAAGGAAAAGCACGACCACGCGGCAAGTCTAGAAGCGTACATGCCTGGAGATACGGGCTTCAAACAGGCAGTTAATAATATAGTCCCCCCCCCCCCCCCCCGCTTGTGCATACCGGATGCGAGGACAGTGTCCCACGAAGAACTCGTTGCCGTTCTGCGGGAGTTCGGAACTGAGAACTGGTTCTTCGTAGATACAGGGGTGGTTGGGGGTTTTTGACGTTTATTTGTGTCATCACCATCTTCTTTGCTGGGCCATGTGGCCCGAATATATATACACTCACTCGTTTAACAGATCCTGTTCGTTCCATTCGACAGTCTCGTTTGAAAGGATGCTGGCCTAACCAGCTCTTCAGTAAGGCGCCACGTGTTTTCAGATGGAGAAGAGCTCTTTCCTGTGTCACCTAACGATGTCTTTAACAGGCCACGCAGACTTGTTTTCGTCATTCATTTAAGGCTATATTTTTTACCGAAAAATCCTCTCGGACATTGGGTGTCGTGGCTGATAATGAAGGAAGGTTTATTCTCAGGTGAACAAACCAACTTCATTTTGTGCCACTAGGTTTCCCACCACCACCTGCTTACCCTACCCCCATAAAAAAAATAAAGAAAATCACGTGTGGCCACGATACATAGATATCCTTACCATTTTACCACTTGTGACTTGCGGCGCATCATATTAGAGCCGTGTGCGGGCCGCAGTTTGCGAACCCGAGCCCAGCTCGAGCTCTTTGACTGCTTATAAAGCCCGCCCGAGACCAACGCCGAAAAGCCCTGAGCCGGCGCCCGGTCCGGCCCGACATTATAGAGGTTTGCTTTGGAGACAAGATCATCTTCCGGTAATGTGGCATTTTTATTCAACTTATCAAAGTGAGACACACGCAAACGACACATTCGCTATATGTACACAGATTACGAGTTGTGTAAAAATAGCAAGCTGTTCATTAACTCGAGCTTCAGTGAAGTGCGGCGCTCCTACATCCCGTATCCCGCGAATCTTTAAGTTCCCTTCGCTGCTCGCAGTGGTAGCCATAATTACCAATGTATTTTTTTTCCCGGTGATGGTAAATTTGGGATATTTGCACGGCTGATTCTTCCAAAAGTTTAGTATTTCAGATTCAGGGCAACAGGATGATTTGTACAATCACACAGCTCACCTTATACGTGACTGGGAAATTCTGGTCATTGTTACTCTACTCACTGTATACATCCAAGCAAGGCTCTTTCGTGGTAGGCTGCTCTTTACCATTTCGCACTATTTTTCTGAAACGAAGAAATAAGCCGTCTTACTTGCACATGCACTTTGTCGCGTTCTTCAGCGGTCAGAATTTTAAGGTGGGCTTGATTCGTGTATTGCACATAACCCGGCCTACCCGAAAGAAAAAAAAAAAACGCAGTACGAGCCAGAACGGGTTCGAAATGAAAAAAAAAGAAAAAAAAAACGTCGCCCAACATGAGCCCGGCCTGGCTCGGCCCGCGGGCCAGGTTCGGGCTTTCGGACTAAGCCGGAGCCCGTGCACACCTCTCGACGATACACGTGTCACGCACGCGGGGTTTTAAAACCTTCTAGGTCGCACCAGAATGACTCACAGGCATCGTGGGTAATAACGAGTAGACTTACACGCAGTCACATTTGTGCGATCTTGGGCGTCGGCTGGATTTTGTCTAGGGTGGGGTGTGCTAATATTCGAAAGTTTCGAATAACAAGCGTTCTACTCGATTCAGCATTTGAATAATATAGCGCATATTCGAGCTACCGAACATTTTTTGAATATCTTTCGAGTCATCTGTAGCAACAGAAAAATATTTAAAAAAGCCCAACATATTAAAAGAACAAAGAATAGTGTTTCTGGTCTTAATTAGTGAATAAGGATGCTGTTGACGCTTTTACAGGAATATCGAAGCTTTACTCATAATCACATGAACTAGTTTTTTGCTTTAAGCACCGGTGTTCCTAAGCTAATGCGCCTTCAATGCTCCAGCATTATATCGAGGTTCATGATGTTCGTTCATGAAGCTCTGTTACGTGAATGACAAGTAGCTTGCACCATATATAGACTACCTACAATATACATTTACGACAGCGGTCGCACAGCTGACCGGTTGCTCAGAAGGCGAGTAGCGAGAGATCTTCGTTCTCTTCGTCGGACTCACACGCACGTGGCTCATGGAGGCTCCCCGGCGGCAGATGCACCGTCTTACATCGATGGGGGAGTTGTACGGTATCGCTGGCCTACGGGGAATATAGAGACTACGAGGGTATAGACACTATACGAGGTTAGGCCTTAGTGTCACTAAAAAGTTGGTGACAAGTTACCACCTGGAATAATGAAGTAACTGCGGTATTTATCCTGCAGTTACCTCTAATGCTCTACTCACTACTGTAGACGAGCTTACCTCAGTTTACATAATCGTGGTATCCTTTTTCGGTTAAATGCAACGGATATGTTAGGTTGTTAATGTTCATGAACAGCTGTATAATTCTAGGCCGGTAGTGGATATGGCTGCCTTACTTTACCAATAGCATTCGATTCGGATTCGATTTATTCCTGAATGTCCCTATTCGCACACCCTTATAGTCTTGTGTGAATCGTGATGCAAAACCGTATTGCATCACTATGGGGGAGAGTGAAGGGGGAGCGCCTAAGGATCGAGTGGCGCAAGTGCCCCTTTTGCACACGGCTTCACTGACGTATTTCCGTCACGGATATGACGTTGTAAAATATGTACTAACAGATTCAAAATAAAACAAATCACAGCATATCCACGAGGTGAATGACGAGTGGGGCGAAGCGGATGGACGGACGAAAGCACGGGCGGACGCTTCGCCCCACTCGTCATCAATCAATTCATGGATATTCTGTGACACCATTTTTATTGACATGCAATGCAATGAAACTCGTTACTACGACGACACGAAAGGTATGACCCACGGAAGCTTCGCCCCTGAAAAGGAGAAGGAAATATTTTGTCGTGAAGTTTCGAAGAAGCAATCTCTTTGTTCGCAGCGCACGGCGCTAATCACTATGCCACGGAGCGTACGTTCTCGAAGATGCTAACGGCAAGCTACTTACATTGCTACGTGCCAGTACACGGAGATGAAGAAGACAAAGCATATAGACGCCATACATCGTTTGGCCGTCCTCGGAGCTCCGAAACCTTAGCGCGTTTTCGTTGTCGGTAGCGAGATGGCGCGACGGGCTCGCGTTGCATAAAGCCCCTAGATAAGCAAGTTTTATGTAGGGACCTCGGTGTTGGGCGCGCTCTGAAGCTAGGCGGCTCCACGGAGCATATAGTCTTTCTTGCGCGCGCGCTTATCATACTCGTAATTCGGGAGCGGACGAAGGTCCCTTCGCTCGCTGCCGCGGCCGCGTTTGCGAAGGAAGCGCGCTGCTGCCACACGATGAAGTAAGAATTGTGACAGCTGTTCGCGCTTGTCCTGTGTATACTAGTGCTCTCGTTTCGTGCGTCATTCTTTACATTTGAACAGCGCGCTTCAAGTGTCGAGCTATGACAGTTGTTAGTCACCGCTCGTCTTGTGTATTCTAATTTCGTGCGTGCTTTCTGCGTGAGGTGCGCGCTGCAAATTTCGAGCTGCTTCACGCGAGTTCGCAATTTGTTGATTTTGCTGAAATAATGCACAATAAACGCTCAACTATATTTCTGTGAAGACAAGTTCCACTTTCTTGTTATACTGATTACTAGATAGGGGTGTAAGCAACGGTTTTTTTGTACTGCTCCAGAGAATACGTACATGGGTACCGAGAGAAAGATTAGCGCTCGAAGGCGCGATTTTAGTCATGTTGTTCGTTATTTGAACAAGCATTTCGCCACAACCGGCCTGTCCAATGAAGATAGCGACAACAGCCATTGTACGGCATGGGCGCGTGTCCCAGACCAGCGCATGTTTTACCATGCAACGGGAAGAAGTGCGACTCGGCAGGGGATAATCAGCCAACTCGCGCAAGCCACGGGAAACACCCCCGTCACCTTTGTTGTAACCGGAAAGGAGAAATATTCGAGTCCATGTTTGCGCTGCATTGATATACACCATACGTCCCTTTGACGGGAGTTTTGTCACGGAGTTGTCTTGCAAGCGACAGGATCTGGTTGGCAGGCATGTGTTCGCTTACAAAATTTTATTGCGCTTCTATTGGCATTCTGCCGCCTCCAAAAAAAACGCTGCTGATACGCGATTGAATATTATGCCGTGGATTTGTAAAAATGCACGTCGCAATCAAGGGCATAGCCAGAATTTTAGGGGGGGGGGGAGGCACCACATTGAAACTTTCAATTTTTTTCGCGCTCTATGTCATAGCGAAAACTTTTGCTGGGCGGGGGGGGGGGGAGGAAACGGGCCCGTTTTGCCACTGTGAGCGCACTTTTTCGAGGCCGCAGGAAAACAAATACAAACTTCGACCTTGTGGAGTAGCGCTTACTTACTCCATCGTAGATACTAACCAACTAGCCTCAAAATATGTTTTAGACAAAAAAAATTAAAAAGCGTGACGTGTTTGTTACCATGAAACGGTTTCGATGTGTCGACCAGTGTGGCTCTATACGGATGCTTAGCAATCATGTACGCAACGCAATGCTTTGTTCTGCAAATAAAAGACCTGCCGCGGTGGT